TATATATATATATAGTATATATATATATATATATATATATATATATATATATATATGTATATATGTATGCATGTACGTATATATATATATATATATATATAAATATGTGTTCTTCACACGGACACATGCTATGTATATCTCTTTGCGTTCGCTACGATTCTTAGATAATATTATATATTTACCACTTGTTCGACAATAATCAATGCTTTTTCCGATTATATGCATATGAAAATCGGAATGGGAGACATCGGAATGCTGTGCAGATACTATCGTTGCTGACTGTGTTATAGACGGATGTAGTCGTTGAAGCTCTGTTTATCGAGTGTTTTTTTTCCGAATTAATGCCAAATATTGTAATTACGCAATCAAACATATTCACAGTCGAACGAGGATTGGCACCACAAGACGGCCCGGAGCAGAAGAAACAAAAACTTGATTCTCCCGGGCCCAATGCACAACAGTCTAACTATGGAATGCCACAGATGCAACAACCAATGAATACGCAGCATATGAGCATGCCACCGCAGCAGATGTACGGCATGAATCCCCAAATGCAGCAAGGGTATGTATGTCTTCAGGGCGTTTGTGGAGTACACTAGCAATTTTTTTATGGGAAAATACAGATCTCCGATGAATCATATAGTCAGTTCGCAACATATGCGCGTATAGATGAGTTTTACGATAGGGGTCATGTATGCGTGCTGATCATTTATTGGGGACTGACATGTATCTATAGGAGAGTGCTGCTGTGATATGATAAACGCAGTTTATGCACTCGGTGTGTTTGTGGGAACTTTTCTAACGGTAAATCATTTGCCTCCAGATACAACCCGTACATGCAAATGCCTGGTCAAATGCCTGGTCAACCGATGCAAATGCCTGGATATATGGGACAAATGGGACAAATGGGGGGCCATATGATGGGTCACATGGGCGCACCCGGAATGGGGCCACCAGGACCGATGAATGGAGGCCGACCGATGGGTAAGTAGTTGTTGGTAGTAAGCCAAATCTAGTTGATTGTGTGCGTTGGTCTGTATTGGCATGATATTCGCATTGAATACATGATCTATGAGGCTCCTGGTTGTCATCAGACAAGAACCTCACATAAAACATTTTACTGTCAACTCTAGGTATGGGCATGCCAGGGCAAATGGGACAAATGGGCCCTCCTCCTAATCAGCCACCCAATACCGGTATGAACCAAAACTCAAATACCGGTTCGCCGAACTCAGCTCCAGGAGGACCACACCCAGGCCAAAGCCCAGGCTCGAACCCAATGAACCAACAAAGTCAGACTCGTACGTCTTTGGCCGCGGATGGATCTACCAGAGGGTCTGTTGGTGCGGGTAGCGCCCCAGGACAGTCACAGAACGGGCCGCCGGGTGCGTCTGTAGATAGCTCAGCAGGTAATGATCGTATCTATGTTCAAATATATCTTTAGACTTCTTTGTTTACGTACATGGTTTGCGTGAGGGATAGTCTATATGTTCTTACCGTATTTATGTAGTGATAACTCATGGTGCATTATCGCTGGGGAACAATGGATCTGTGGCTAGCTCAGCAGGTGTCTACCTACAGAATTGGATCTCGGATTTACGTTCATCCCAGTCTTTGTTTTTTTGTATGTATACGCGATATATTTCTAGTGCGTACGATGTCGCTGAAGAAGAGTGTGCGGTCAGCCAAACAAATACTTTCAAATGTATCTGCGGCTTGTATATAAACAGATAAACCCTAATCTAGTACTATGAGTGTGTAGTATTGATTTTGTTGTCCAAACCAATTCATAAAGGGGCCAACCGGGGACCAGTGCATATATAGTCAGTCTAGGGCACATAGATGTACACAGGAACAATTTTCTGCTAGAAGACTGTTACAGCCCACACCTACCAAAGCCTCCGTCACATGCCTCCCTACACACGGATACACATGATGTATACCAGTCCCATTCGAGAGTATTCGAACCGTCCCACGCTTTTCTACATACCGTATGTATGCGTTTGAGTGTATGCGAATCTCATTGAGTGCTGGGTTTCGTTAACAGATGGTTCCGGGACGTCCCAAAAACCTGTAGTACCTTCTGGTAGCAGTGCACCTGCACCCGGTTCTTCCGGACCGGGACAGGGTGCAAATGGCCCGCCTTCAATCTATTATACACAAGGGCAAGGAGGTAAGGTCGTGAGATATACACACACACACACATATATATATATATATATATATATATGTATATATATATGCATATATATATATATATATCACAAGTTTCATCTGAGTGTCCAAGTTTAGTACTCGTTGTATTCAAACTCGAAGCATTCAAGCAAAACATTGAATATCACGTTCCCATTCTTGATCCCAATCTCGTATGCTGTCTCATCGCTTACCTACCGGCCCTCCCTCAGGCATAAATGGACCTCCTCCTGGTATGAACGGCCCCAATTCTGGCAGAAACGGGCCCCCACCAGGCATGAATGGCCCACCTCCGGGTATGAACGGTCCACCTCCTGGTATGAACGGTCCACCTCCAGGCTATCGTGGAGACCCCAACTTCAGGCCAAATGGCCCCCCTCCGAGAATGGGGGGCATGTACAACGGCCCTCCAGGGCAACAACGGTCCTCCCCGGGACCACCACCCTCGGTAAGTTTACGTATATATGGATATGTAGTCTTTTTCTACTTGTTTGGGTGTGTGCATTTGTGTGTATATATGCATGTACTCGTAGGCATGCCTGGGGAAGCACGTGGTACGGACTTGCGACATGTTTTAGAATATTAGCGCGCTTTAATATGAAGCTATACCTGGTATAAGTTCAGAAATGTAGGCATGCGTGAGTGTTCCCATATATACCGCTCGAATTTGTATGGTCATGTGCATCCAGAGTTGTACCGAACGTCACTATAGCAGAGCCATTCAATACACACCCCTCCCTCATGCAACCGAACCCGCTCGTGGTCAGCAAGCCGTTTATAATTGGAAGGGGATTGTTATAGCGGCGATCATTTAAGAGGATGTTGTAGATGATATGGCTTGCTGGAACTAGAACTGAAAGTCTTTTTACCAGCCCATGGACTGCAAGCCATGCACCAAAGCATTCACTCATACGGCCGGTCCTTTTTTTTCACTTAACAGGGCGGCCCTCCCCCGGCATTTGGGGCCTACTCCGCCGCGCCTTCGGGACCACCGCCCGCGTTCCAGGCGTACACCAAGGAGGAGCCTGCAGGTAAGTACTTCTTGACTAAGCTTAATGTAGATACTGCTTGACTAAGCTTAATGTAGAGCGATCCAGGTTGATAGGATTGTTATGTTATAACCTGCTGTGAGCAAACTGACGCATTGCCCAACTGCTCTGTCTATACATCCCTCTTGTAAATATATCCAGTACTCGTTCGTCAGCCGCTCCTTTACTGCCTATCGACAGAAGTTGTACACCACTTTAACTACTCAGTCAGAACTCCGCTATCTTGTATATCGACAAACTCGCGGTGCATCTGTGAGCTCTCGCTCTCTCTGCCATTCAATGATACGTTCACTTTTTTTTATACATCATCTTGAGCCCCTTCTTTCGCCCGTTCCTATCCATCTACTGACTCACGTTCTGTCCATCTCTATCATTTCCACCAGTGCCTCCTTGTCTATCTATTGACATACTGTTTGTGCTTCTCTATCCTTGACGACTTCAATTTCCTCACCACCTTTCTTATTGGTTTACTATCACACTATTTGACACATCTTTCCTATAAGTCGGACCTTTTTACTACCTTCCTTTTCCGTTTACCACCATACATATTGTACATCTCTATCCCATTCGTCTTGAAGCCCCGTTTTCTAACATACTTTCTGCACATAAGTATCCTGTACATCGTCAACATTCTTACAACCTTCCGTATCCGTTTACTTATATCTTCTGCAAATACCTATCCTGTACATCGTCAACCTCCTGACCACCTTCCTTATCCGTTTACTATCCTTATCCGTTTGCTAACATATCTTTTGCACATATCTATCCTGTACATCGTCAACCTCCTGACCACTTTCCTTGTCTGTTTACTATCCGTATTCGTTTACTATCCTTATCTGTTTACTAACATACCTCTCCATCATCTGCACCAGTCCCTGGCAGTGCCGCGCCGGCTCCTGTGCGAGCAACTACACCGCCCGTAGGCCCTCCGGTGCTGAAGGATAGCAAGCTCATCTTCTGGCACGCAGATAAATCAATGGTATGTCAAAACGTTAAAGCGTCTTGTTATATGCGTGTTTGGCGAGTGGTAATGGGTTTGTCGAACTGGGTTTTACGCTATGGGATGGTATGTCAAACGTAAAAGTGTCTGTCGGTACGTTTTGAGTGGGTAGGAAAATTTTGTTAAACTGTTTTGACACTGCCAATGTGCAAGTGACTGACAATGCGTTTGTAGTGAGTGTGAATAGGTTTATTTGAACTGTTTTCGCACTATGGGATGGTATGTCAAGCGTAAAAGAGTCAATAAGTTGTTGACGAGTGTGAATAGGTTTGTCGAACTGTTTGGTTCTTGTAAGTCAATACTATAGAGGCAACTATCACTAGCCACGATGAGGAACATTAGTATGCGATGAGTAGAATAAACTATCTGTGGATAGAGGGCCATGCGTGCACGCTTACTTACATCATCGATAAGTATATACACATTGATATTTGAAGAGTGGGAGCTCTTTCAGTATGCTATGTTAGTGCCATAAAGTCGCCGCTAGCCCACAGAGTGTTTATATTATCATTCACTGCCAATCGAAAGCGTATATATTATGGCATGTGTAAAGTGAGAAGCCTTCTAATCGAGCGTAAAAGTGTTGGAAGTCCGTTCCTATCCCTCATCTTTATATATATATATTTATCTGTATGTGTATATATGTATATATATATATATTACCATCTTTATATTTTTTAAGGAGGAGGTTCGAGCCGAGCTACCTCAGTACGGAATGAATCTTGCAGAGATCAGCAGTGGTCCCCAGCCAGCCGCCATGTGAACAGAGACTACCGGAGTGTGTTTGCATCTGACAGGCGAGTGTACCATGCGGTAGGTCGACGTGCTCATCGCGACAAGGTAAATTAGTGGGCAATTGCTGGTGAATTAGTTCTACACTATTAATATAAACCAAACGACCACGCACCGTGGGGAGAACAATTTGGGCCTTGAATGCCCTGATGCGGCCTTCACTGGTTGATACTTACACTACACACAGCATTTAGTCGTATGTGGGTGGATTGGATAGGCGCTTGAACCTGCTGAATAGTATGGGTCCGGTGTCAAGGCACGTGCAGTGTTTAATGGAGAACGCTCTGTTGCGTCATCATCGGCGTCGTCGTCGACAAGTACTTGCTTATTTAGTAGTATCGAATATGCAACAGCACCATCCATGGGGATTCCAATACAAACAATAAAGTTATGTAAGAAACTATGTGCTTCGGAATTTGAACTATGAACCGAGTTAGAGAGGAAAATCACAAATTGGATAGGGGTGTCTCAAAATGGCAGAATGGGAATGGGATTTCCTTCCGATGACATCCGCAAGTTATGTTGGACTGCTTATCGATTGCATTTTGCGTGGATGAAGTATGAGGAACCCGAAATTAGGAAGGAGAAAGAAGGATTGGATTATATCTCACCGCTATTCGATTGCGCTTTGGATGGATAAAGTATGAGAAATTCGAAATGGGATGACAAAAGAGGATTGGATTTAATCACGCTGCTTATCCACTGCGCCTGGGATGGATCAAGTATGTCAAAGTCGTATGTGGCGCAACTGAGATTCTTTCTTTCATCGTTCAGGATATGAATATACACGAGTGCACGGGATGGATACTTTGTTTCTATGGCCGCATGTTGGTCTTTGTTGCGTTATTCTAGTTTATTGATACCTATAAGTTGATACCTATAAGGGCGCAGGTTCGTAAGACAGGGAATGGACAGTATGTACAAGAATTTCTGTAGAAGTGTTTCTATATGCACTCTCTAGAGTTGTGACATATACATAAATATACAGCGATGCCTTTGCAATTACATATGTACATTATGAATGTCTGGTTCACTACGTTTGGTGATAGATTATTGCTGTGAGCTTTTCATACCGAGTATGTATGTATACAAATGCACCATACACTACCAGATGATGGGATATTTCTATCCAGGGTAAACAGACGAAGGCATTTTCAACCCGGAATATTCCGTAAATACTATACATTTAATATTACCCTTACGTGTACTGACACTATACGGATGTTGAAATAGATATAAATATATATATTATAAAAATGAATATATATATATATATATATATATATACATATATATATATTATTATATATATATATATATACATATATATATATATATATATATATATATATTATATATATATATACACATAAATATTATCCATATTACTACACACACACACACATATATATATATATATATATATATAATACTCACTTATCAACATGGCCATACACATGTCTATTCGCACACACATAGACATACCAATCCACTTTGCCATACACGAGCCTGTTTACATTCCCATATACATATATATTGACATACTCATGTACACATACCTATCCAGGCACGCATATAGCCATATATAATTACTTATTATATACGCATACGCACGAGTCCATGACTGAAAATTGAATACACTCAACAAGTGAATAGAAATAGGGACCTGGTCATTCTGAGCAATTTACACTAAATATTTAATTAACTCTTTGATCGGACGGTCTATTTAATGGACTCAAGTATAAGCATTTCCCAACCCTATCTATACGCGAGTGCACCATATGGAAATTCAATTCAAGACTCAATCAAGTCGGCTTGCATAAAACGACTGCTTGTTTCTTCCGCCTGCAATAGACAGACTGTCAAGACTGCCTCCGACACTTCACTACCAGGGCCATCCGACCAGGGGGGGTTAATACGCATATATGTAGATTTCAATTTGGGCGAGACTTTTTTCGGACTCTGCTCTGTTCACTTCCGTCGTGAAGTCGCAGACGTGCCATGCTCTGGTCAGAGGGAGTGTCGGGTCTGGTCACCTTTTGCAAAAGGCTTCCTATTCTGTTGTAATCTGAAAGAGTCTCGCTGACCAGTTTTAGCAAATTCGAAGCAGCTTTCTCCCTCACTCTAATCAAACAGTTTGCAACGGCTGAAGCGATTTCTTCTTTGTGTGAATCATAGAATCTCAAGATGTTGGCTTTTGTAAGTTTCACCGCTTCCTTCCCTCCTACACATACATACGCCCTTTTCATGATTTCGGCGATGACTGCAATTGGTTTGGATTCGAATTCGTCCTTGATCATAATTCGTTGTAGGCGCTCGATTTTGGACTTTACCGCATGCGGAGGGTTCCATGGCAAAGTTTTTCCAGTTAAGTCCCGTAGATAAATTCTGAGTAATCTCGTAGACTGCTCAAACCCTGATAGCATCTCTTTGTTCAAATCGACAAATTTCCTCTGCCGCTCTTTCTCGCAGTATGTCATAACCTCCCCTCGACCCCTTTGCTTTAAAACAAATCGTAGTCCACTATAGTTAGATCCGAAAAGATTCAGCTGGTGCTCCAGCAGCCTTCGGACATATTTCATAGTTTGTGTTTTTACTGCTCGGTCACGTATTCGTGTATCTAGACTACCAAGATACGTAGAACTATTTAAATTCTCCGTTTCCGATATAAAATTATCGCGCTCAAAAAAATGCCATCCGTTTGCGACGGCCGCAATTTCAATCAGAAGTGATTTCCCATGCGCTTTTGCTAAAGCTTTCAGATTCTGAAGGACTGGGGCCACATCGAAGTCTTTGTATTGAGCGCAATTGACGATCGCGGGCAAAGCATCAGTGTCGCATGTATCATCCTCGCGTATTGTTGCCTTGATCTGCTGCAGGCTCTTGATTATCTTCATTCTATCACGTTTGTATGCTAATTCGTCAGGATTCTCATCAGTATCGTCAACGAAATCTTTATCTGTGTCTTCCCCACTGTAATCTTTTTCATCACCATATTCGATCTTGCCCTTGAGCTGATACTTCTTCATTAGCATTCCTTGAAAGTAGTCCAAATCACGATCGACATGGATAGCTTTACGTGTACCGTCCCATTTGGTTCTTACTATTGTGACTTTTTCTACGCCAACATAATCATCTACGGAATTTAGCATTGTCCAAGGTCCGTACTTAACCTTCCCCGCCTCTCTAGCCAAACAGAGGAAGACATAAGGACGCTTTTCTTTGAGAAAGCGCCTTGACTTGTTGTTTCGCAGTGGATTGGAATCGCCCAGACCAGGAACATCGACCAGGCTGATATTTGGCGGTAGCCGTTCTTCGAAGTTGGCTGTAATTTTGATCTCAGCTATACTTTCACCTTCATTGTCGAACTCGCTGAGCGCAACACGAGCTAACTCGTATGACGAGTATGTATTATAGGTAACCCATTTACCGAATTTAGACACCAGATTGGGAGGGACTTCATCCAGCATCGCATCTAACTCCACTTCCGTTTTGTTTCTCGTTGTATACCCTAAATTTCTCAAGATATCACGTAATTCATCCAGATCATCGCTAGCCCAATTTTTAAGCGAGTTTCGATCTTCTTCCCATTGAGTCTCAGAGAGATAGAGCACTTCTATTCTCACCTGTCCTCGCATCAATTTCGGATCAGACTCGCATCTGAGCACATTCCTAGACACGGCTTCCAGATCATACTGAGATACTTTTCCAAATCGTATACCTGTAAGAGCATTGAATAGCGTACTTTTTCCAGCACCGGTTTGGCCGATTAAAGCAACTTCTACCAACCCACTATCTTGCTCCAGGTGCTTAGCTACATCTTCCGCACTGGTCTGTCCAAACAAACTTTTAGCTTTCTCTTGTATTTTGTGTGATTCAAAACGAAGCATATCGATGGTAACGTTCTCATGATCAGCAAATTTCCGACAAAGGTGCTCGTATAGGTAGGTCTCACGTAGTGATGTTGCATTTCCCTTCATTGTTCGAAATAAATACTTGCTTCCAAATATCGTGCCATTTTATACTTATTATAATTTATTTGTACAGATTGTGATCCTGCTTGAACGTAGAATATATTTCTATAAAAAAAAGTTCGACGACTCGAATTATATATTTTTCTAAAAAGAAAAACAATATATTTATGTACATATGTATTTGTTTAAAAAAACAACAACACTAAACACAAGTGACAAAAGGGACAAACGGCACGCGCCAGCACTCCAACAGGCGGCAGCCGGTAAGTGCATTGTCCAGACTCCAGTGTACTGTGTGTGAATGAACTTCCATGGGAGTTCCACCGAATTAAAAAATAAAAGTGGTATGTATGTATCTCAGTATTGAAAAAAAAATTGCTTCGTTATCCAATGGAATAACGATTGCATTCGGAGTATTTTTAGATTTCTGTTTGTCCTAAAATCTATTTTGTTTTAATTTTTGATTTTGGTCTGTGACATGTGTTTGTTTTTAAAAAAACAAAACAGAAACAAAATATGTATAGATGGCCTTCTATGAATCTATGATACAAGAAGGCTATTTTTTGTTTTTTTAATAAAAAATCAGATAGTTTTTTTTTTGTTGTAAGGTGTGGAACTGTGGATTGTGGAATAAATACTGTGTGAGACTGTGACTCTGTGGAACTTTGGAAGTGTGTATATTTTACTACTCTGGTGTATAACGTCCTACGTACGTTAGTCCGTTGTGGCAATTTTTTCTTTCTCTATGTAGGTCTAGAGAGGGTCATGGACACACGGGTGTATATTGTATTGGCAAAAAATACATATTTACACTCACGCATGTGCATAGTGCGCACAACAGCCAACAATACTCTTTTTTCCAAGTAGCCTACAATAATACAACGCTATGTAACAGGCGGCTAACATATATTAGCTGTGAGTGTGAGGGGGTATGTAAGGGGCTGAGGGCTTAGCTGCTTAGGGCGCCTCAGGCTGAGGTCGCGGAGCGCCAGAGCCGTTGAGTCCGCCAAAGAATTGAGATCCTGTGAGGCTGAGATCTGAGTCCAGACTCTAGAAGGAACTCTCAGGGGAGTGTTGAATAGGAATCACTGCGTCACTGTCGAACAGTATGCTCAATTACTCGTGTTATCCTACCAATCATATGTCAATTCAACGAACTTCCAACCCTTGTACGTATTTACGTCTTACATACACAACTCAACGAGTCAACAACACTCAACAGTTATGACTCATGAGTTAGCACTCTCTCCGTGTGAACTCTGGAGTGCTGGACTGCTGTGGCCTAGCCGCCTGGGGCTATGTACATACTACTAGAGAGAGAGAGAAAAGCGGCCTGCCTGAGCTTGGTTCGTTGGAGCTGGGACTCTGAATGATGGGAAAAGAAATTAGCTGTGGCCTATTTTAATTTGATCTTTTGTTTTTAAAAAAGTATAGAACATGCCTATCAATTCTTTAGCAGTCCAGGGCCCCGGTTGTAGAGTCCAGGCCTCTCCAGCTCCTCTCACTCTACTCTCTACTCTAGGAGCTACATAGTAGAGACTCAAGAGAGTAGAGACCCGAGAGTCGAGAGTGAGCCTCCTCAGGTACGTGCCTTAAATAGGCTGAAAACGTAGTACGTTCTACGGTAACGCTTAGTTTCGAAACCGGTTTCCCGTTTTCCGGTAGTATGAGCACAAACCCAGACTGCTATAACGTATGAAAACGTAGTACGTTTTACGTTGACGTGCCAATTTTTGCCCTTAGGGCCTCAGTTGATGAGGCCTAAAGGCCCTGAGGCCATAGGATTGGTTATGCACCCCAGGCTAACTACTAGTAGACGCTGGCAAGTAGCATAAGGTCGCGACATGTCGCACACTTGCACTGTAAATAAACGACCGCGAGTCGCGACGTGTCGTCAAATTTTATGCCAAGTCTGTACATAGTAGACGACATTATCGTTTACTATGTACTTAACCTAGAGAGGGTGTCCATGCTGCATGTCTTGAATTGAAAAAATGACATGTTGCAACCTCGATGTAACGACACGTCACTAGAACAAACACGTAAACGACAGTCGCGATACGTCGCCAACTCGCCATAGGTAAAGACAGGTCGTTTACGAGCTCAGCCCCAGGTCCAGGGGCGGACAAGCCGCCAGGACTCAGTTGCCATGAGTAAATAGCCAAACAGAAGAGCCATAACCTCGGCAATTCAGCATCTCTCTATGAGTTAATCTCAGCATCTCAGGCAATTATTTTGTAAAAATTTATTGTAGATGTCAGATTTCAGATTTGTGGATAGTTTGACTTTTTGACTATGTATTTTTATTTATTGTGGAAAACAAAACATAGCAAAAACCCGAAACAAAAAGTAAAATATATATATTTATAATAAATAAATATATTTAGAGTATGATTATGTAACCTTTGGGTTAAATCACATTATGTAATCTTAAATCTAAAATCACATACTTACATACAGTCAGTGGGAGTGTACACTGTACAGTGTACACTGCACAGTGCACAGTCGTGTCCATTTCGGATTTCCTCACTCATTTACTCATTTAGATCATATGCGAGCAATCGCTTGAGCAGTCAGTAGTCGGCACATGTAATTTTTTGTTTTCAGAATTGTTTGTTCACTCTTGAATCCTTGTAGAATGTTGAGTCAGTGAGTTGAGAGTTGAGAGTTGAGACTTGACTTTATGACTGTATGCGTTTAATTTTTAAAATAGAAGGATATGAACATGGTTGAATGCCACGGGTCACCGTGGATCATTGGAGTTTGGAGTTTGGAGTTTGGACACCTTGTACTACTATTTTAAAAAATATTTACTACATATCTCCGACTCCCCGTGATTTTAAATCAGTATTTTAAAATCACAAGTTCTAAACTTCTCGAGTCCATTCAATTATACAATAAATTTTTAACAAAATAAGAATTCATGATGACATAGCCTTCTAAATTTAAAAAGAACAATGATGAAACAACAATTTTTTGTTTTATTTTGTAAAACAAAGAAGACAAAACAAAACAAAAAAACATCGAGATTCGAGACGGAGTCATCAGCTGACATGTATGACATGTCGTCTCGACATGTGTATTTTATTAGGCTACGATACAGCCACCGGCAGACCTGTCGACACCATGTCTCGATCGACATGTCCTACAAAATGTCGCCGCGACATGTATGACAATTGACATGTCGTTTGCCAAATGTCGGCGCCGTCTATTTACCAACCCAGGTCATCAGATTCAGGCCGTTTAGGCCTCAGTCACAGTGCCTCGAACGGAGTCTCGGAGATGTCTCACAGACAGTCAGACACGGGAAGAGATTTTTGTCGTGTTTTTTGTTTTACAAAAACATACACACAAAACAAAATTTATAATAAAACACGCTGGGGCGCCGCAGAGTCCAAAAGCTATTCTTCTAAGAGGGTAGCTAATAATCTGTGAATATCTCCGCACAGGGTGAGGCGGACAGGCGGTGAGCTGAGGCCTGAGGGTGAGATACTAAGATTTCTTGATGTACACTTCCCTCACTTTCACTCAACACACACACAAAAATATTTACGTACTGTTGTTCAGTCACACACGCTCAGTCGCTCGCACATAAACACACTCACCCACGCCCCCCCCCCTCCCTGCCTTATTTTATAAAAAAACTTTTCTTTTCAGCCGTCAATAACGGACCCACATATGCTCTTATTTTTTGGAACAAAATTCCATTTAGGATCCCTCGAAGGCCTCTTGGGGGCCTACAAATAGAGAACAAGCGTTCCAGACAGATTTCAAGTTCAATAAAAGAAATAGGAACTCTACAGTCTACAGGCCTACAGCTACGCTTTCGGTGAATCGGTGATAAATATCTATAAAAGACGGTGGCAAATCGTAAATAAAACTAATCCAGAACAGCTTCTTTTATTTTTATAATATCTTCTTGTTGGTGTTCCGTCTCTGTGTTTGACACCTGTGCAAAAAAGCCTCCTAAAAAGGAACATACTATTTTGAACAACAATTTTATTATACATACTCTCTTTGAACAAAAAGGTTGTCTTAAGATTATGGTGACCTTAACTGTCGATATGTCGAAAACAGCAATGTCTCAGCTAGAAAACAGTTTGTATGAGCGGTTGACGGCGTATTTTCACCACAAATCGGATATCGACTTCTCTACGCTTCGTAATAATATTGATATCATCAAAAGAATGACGTACAGTGAGTTCCAAGAGACGGGCGTAGAAGACGTCACCGAGCATTTGTCAAAATCTAGGGAGAAGTTGGAGGTGGCGCTTGTAGGCGATACAGGAGCTGGTAAAAGTACCCTTTTCAACGCGCTGACTGGGTTACGTTTCGGACGAATTATGGAGTATGATGCTGACGCCGTGTCTAGGAACGTTCTCAGATTTGAGTCAAATCCAGCTATGCAGGAAGGGACGGTGCAGGTGGAAGTAGTCTATCTAACCGCTTCACAATGGGGAGAAGATCGCGAGTTACTCAGGAGAGATAGCGAAATCGACGCGGAAGATTTCTTGGAGACCGTCAATTTTTTTGGATATGACACGAAGGGAAAATCACGGGAAGAATTGGTCGAGATTCTTGAGGATAATCCTAAGGATGACCCTAACGAGTTGTTTTCTAAATTTGGGACAAGACGTGTCTTGGGCCCCTTTACTACACCTGAATCAGCTCGTAGTGCGCTCAGTAAGCTTGACGAAGAAAGTAGCATCATTTTGGAAATCAAAATTACGGCAAGAGCGGTTCGAGTCACAGACGACTCGGCCGATACGCTACCAGGGAATATTAGTCTAGTAGATATCCCTGGTCTGGGAGATATCAGTCCCCTGAGAAACAATAAGTCTAGACGATTCCTCAGAGAACGCAGACCCTATGTTTTATTCCTATTGAGTAGGGATACAGCAAGAGTCAGTATGCGGCCTTGGAACACTTTGAATTTCATAGATAGCCATGTTGGGTTTGAAAAAATTACTATTATCAGAACTAGATGGGACGGCACTCGCAAGACTAACCAAGTGGATATCGACCTTAGTTTTTTCAAAAAGAAACTGGAGAGTAAGTACTTACAGGAATTCAAGAACAAAGCAAGTGAAGGTGGCGAAGATAACGGAGAGATTCTCGATGGGGACTACGAGTTCGCGGAGCGCGAAAAACTTTATTTTTTGCACACGAAGCAAAAAATACAGAACTTCCGGCAGCTACCAGCGACAATACGCGAACATTCAGGCTGTGATTCAGATGAATTGCCGGTTGTTGTAAAATCCAGTCAATACGCAATTTTTGACATATCGGAAGTGCAGTCTATGCTAAAATCATTAGCAGTATCGTACGGAGATTCACTATTGATTGAGATTGCAGCAGTGGCGAATGGGTGGCTCAACTTTGATTGTGCAAGCTTCAAAGCAGAGACAAACGCAATAAGCAATCCAAGATACTTGCGTAAATGGGATAGACATATTCGCCGACGAGCAACAGCGCAGACAACCAAAGACACAGTAGGCACTCTGTTGAAACAACAGTTGGATGCTTTCAAATCTAACCATCGTGGTTTGAAATCTATATTGCAACAAAGAGGTCGTGGAGAAAGATATATCTATTGCAATGGAGAAAAACAGAGATTATACATTGATCTACATACAGAGATGCTGGCTGGATTTGATGGATCTAGCAGGTTGCTAAAATTGTTCTTGACTGACCTCGACAGTAAAGCGCTGCATACGCGTCCACCTTATGCCGTGTTAACTAAAATTAAAGATCTGCAACGGGCCATAAAATGGGACTTTGAATATAAGCCGTGGGCCGTGATTGGCAACATAATGAGTGATGGACTCGTATATGTCGATGGCAAAAGAGGAATGCAAAAAACGAAGGAGAATATAATGGCTTTCTACGAAAGTAAGAAGGATGAGATCGCAGCGGCTGTGTCGAAGTGTCTAGTGACGATTGCAGAAAAGGCCCATGATGGTTTGAAACAGATAGTCATTGAAACTCTACAAGATTTCAATCGCATCGAGAGAGTCCTATCAAAGTCAGATACTTCTCCTAAACGGCCGATCGACAACTCCGACGACGACAATGAACAGAAACGAATTCGGGTATGAATCCAGAAGAAATCTACACATTTCAAAAGAAAACAAAAAAGGTAGGGGAATTGCCGAATTTGATATGTATTCATAACTACGCGTCCCCTCAGCGGGACCCAAACGGGGAGTGCATAGTCGAACACTGTACATTTGTTTAAAAACAAACATTTAAATAACACCACCCTCAGTGTGCCCTCACTTTGGCAGACTATAGAACACTCATGACTCAATATTCGTCCGATCCAGGAGTTAAAAAGAGCAATTTGCTTCGAATAATAAAGGGCTATAAATTTTATCAGCAGTAGGGACGACCTTCCATTCGATTTTAAGAATTGCAGCTGATTTACAAACAAGGAACATTGCTAAACTATAGTCGACATATTTACAATATACCAATATACTCACAGAAGTATCAAAGACTAGAGTAGTAAAGACTGTTTTTGATATATATAACTCATCTCTATTTTAATTAATCACATTTTTTTCAACGCTGTTTATGGAATTTTTAAGGGTATATATATATATATATATATATATATATATATATATATATATATATATATATATATATATATATATATATATATATATATATATATATATATATATATATACATATATATATATATCACATATGTATAATATATAATAAATAATATCTATATATATACATACACACACACACACACACACACACATATATATATATATATATATATATATATATATATACATTTATATATATATACTCTCGCTCTCTCTCACACACACACACACACACGCACCCCCACCCGAACAGACACAGACACAGACACAGACACAGACACACATATATATCTATGTATATATGGTGGATATTTCTCTAATTATCTCGGTGGAAGTGCGTGGTATACAATTTGGTGCTGTAGCACCCGGCAATTCCAAGTACTAGCATAGAGCTGAGGGTTTAGACCTTAAGCATTATTCGTATCGAAGCAAACAGAATTGCAAACAAATATAATATCGACGGTTATAGGGGGTGGCTAGCATAGCCAACACTTGCACTAGTATATGGTCAAAACAAGTAGATTATCTTTCATGGCGGTGTATAGCTGTAAACAGAGGGCCAAAGCATCCACTGGAACACAGCGTCGTGACTTTATATACCGAGGTCTGTGTAATACTTAGTACTGCCTCGTTGAACATATCCTTAGCGTATGCTAGAATGGCCTGGGTGCACCTGTCCCGTTTGTGTTGGACAGGACAGGACAAGGCCCTTACTAGCTGGCCAGCTGGGTGATGCTTTCCGGGAATTTGTCCTGCTCAGGGTAGGTAGTTAAGAAAAACGTCGTGAAAAATAAGACAGATAATGGAATCAGTAAGGGGGTTCCTGAGTTTTAATAGGGTTGCCTGGCTGGTCATACACCAATGAGACACACATTAATCGACAAGGAGGCCTATTAGAGGGCCTATTTGTAAGTAGATAATACGTGTTCAACTGCTTACAACAGACAGCAAGTAGGAGCATGCGGCCAGGTTAGTTCTACATACACACGAGAAGTCGGTGCTAGCAAACTCGTCAGTGACGCATTTGTATGTATGAGCAATTCAGGTAAACCGTGTAAATAGTGATTCACTATCAAACTTAGGTCTGTGTATGATATGAAAGTAGGGTACCACAACACATGTTCGGGTGTCTCGTATCGCTCATAGAAATAGTATGTACACTTAAACTTAAACATACGCGCGTACGCATACACACACACACACTCTCTCTCTCTCTCCCGCACGCATACACACACACACTCTCTCTCTCTCTCCCGCACGCATACACACACACACACACACACACACGCACAAACACACACACACACATATATATATACATATACATATTTATATATAATACACACATACATATATGGACATATACATACATACATACATACATACATATATATATATACATATATAAATATATACTATATATATATTACGTATACATATATATATAATACACACATACATATTTGGACATGTACATACATATATATATANTATATATATATTATATATATATATATATATATATATATATATATTTATGGCTCTAGAACACCCTAAAAAGTCCCTTTCGGCATAGTTAGACGCACCTGTATGAGTATTCCGGACTCTCTTGTCGCCGCAGTGTCTAATTCATCGATGAAACCGAACCAGTAGATTACCAGTCCAGGGCCATATCTGCAAGTGATAATAAACTCACAGATCAGAAAATAGCTGGAATACAATGGAAGACGGCGTATTGCGCAAAGAAGCAGCAGCATAAGCTGTCAAATAAACTATTCAGATACGAGTGGGGGGTCTGGAACTAATTGCGTATCCATGGCAACACGACGGAGGACGCATTGGCTCATTAAATTGCGTAACCATGACAACACAATGCAAGACCCAATGCCACACTATGCTAGTAACACGCGCTATAGCCTGGGTAAACAAGGTCAGGGTCACCAATAGATATGCCTCAGCACTGGCAGACGCAGTGACAAACGTAGGGTCGTCTGTAGGGCACAGTCTCCCATTGCGTTGTGTTGCCAAGAATACGTTTTGCGTGACTTCCTGTGAGCGTGATGATGTCTTGTCATGTAGCGTACAAGCGATCTACATCTAGGTGTGGCTGTATTCAGTCGTGTGCACTGACTGTGCACCAGTCCGTGTGGTGTGCTGGTGTTGGCAGCTTGTTAACTGCACACATAAACTACTACCTATTAGAACACGTACCGTCTATACGTGCGTGTGGAACTGATTGGATTAGAAACTTGCGGCATCGTATCTGTTGATAGAAGTTCCCATCCACGTATATGTACGGGTGGAACGCATGCGCTTATATTACTATTTACGTATGCGGAAAACGAATCTGGATTGAAAACGTTGCTGCACCACACCTATTTATATATGCAGAAGACCGATCCGGGTTGAAAGCATGCGTTTACGTACCGATTCACGCATGCGGACAACGGGTCCCGGTTAAACGCATGTGAATACGTACCGGTTTACGTATGCGTAAAACTGGTCCAGGTTGAACGCATGGGTCTGCCTGTCGCCGAAGGATGCCTTGCTCTCAATCCAGCTGATGATATGTCCCCCCGTCCTCACCGGTACGTCGAGTAGAACGTCTGGTGTTTTGGGGAAGTTTTCCCGTTTTAACTCTTCTTCTCCTATTTGAAACCAGATTGAACGTCCATGTTACATCGATTATAGAACGAATAATAATAACAATTCGTAATTTAGGTCACGCATATGCCTAACAAAACGCAGGGTATTTGATAAAAGAGCAACTCTGGTATA